GTGCGTTCCAGTTCCTGGACTGTCTCTGGTGGCTGGCACTTTCTCATAAAGCCAGACGTCTGTGAGGCCAGTTGCCTCATTCATCGCTTGGACGTAGGCGAGCGCATAATGGTGGGCTTGGTTCTGCGCAGCCCCTAGGCTCGCGATGCATTCGCAGAAAGCCTGGGAGTGAATCGCCAGAATGCTGCTGAAGCTTCTGGCTGACAAATCCCCTACGTGTCCCCAATCGGTCCAGAGACACATTTCTGAGATCCACTGCTGTTCCTCCACGTCAAGCATCCCCTGATCCCGGGTTTCATACGAGAGTGAGCCCTGCATGGCAAAGTAACAAGCTTCGGCCTTCGCCCCGCAACAGAAGACGATGTCATCCTCGCCAGCATCTAGCACCACCACACCCTGAGTGGCAAGTCTCTGGATAACCTGCCCTTCTTGCGCACTCACCTCGCTGTTCCTAAGAAGCTCATGCAAAAACGCAAGCCGCTCGAAGCACCGCTGGTAGCGCGCGAAGTGCATTTCAGCAGACAGTGATTTGGACAGTAGGTTGAGGATGTGCAGGTCTTGCTCATGCGTCTGCCTTGCATGGTAGGCGAACTGCAAGAAGCGAGTGATGCGATGGCCAAGGCTGTCCGGGATGTTTTGCTGACGAAGGAAGCGCCTCAGCAACCCAAATTGCTGTGACTCCTCCATCCTCCGGCCGTGCAATGCTGTCACAAGCGATGTCATGGAGCTGATCACAGTGGAGAAGGTCACCAGACTGATGAAGCAGACCAAGATGGTGTAGTAGCCTTCGGTCTCGTTGGTGGCCTCGATCTCTGTGCCCCCAACACCGAGCTGCATGAAAGCCCAGCGCAGTGCGGTCGTATACTGGACCATTATTGGGCTGTCCGACAGCCCGGAGCTCTTCAACCATGTGATTGTGGGTTCTGATGACAATGTGCCCACCCCAAGCCAGCAGCAAGCAAGGACGTGCTCCACTAGCATCATGCCGATCATCACCAACATTAGATTGAACTGAGTAGAAGCCATCGGAGATTCAAACTGATCTCGGAGGAACGCTGCAACTCGAGTAAGCTTGCCCAGGCGGACCACGCGGAAAAGCCGCATGAGCCTTAGGATTATGTCTGGCACTTGCGCATCTCAGCCGACCGCGAATGCCAACGGCAAAAGCGATTTGCAACCGAGATGCCTGAGGATTCGGGTTGTCGCAGCGGTCTCCCCCACACTGTCCCCGACCGACGTAAATTCCAGCACCATGTCCACGGATGTAACAAGCACGTCAGGTACAAACCACGTGCGCAAGTAGTGACACCAAACTTGCTTGACATCGTGTACGAGATTTCCTTTGTGGAGATAACCCGTGACGAAGCAGAGCAGGATGTCTGCGCACCAATAGAACACCCCAATCCGAGTGATGAAGAAGAGTATAGGGAAGCGCAAGTAGAAGTCATCCACAACGAATTGGAGAGGGATGGCAATGGAGTCTTTGAGGAGGAGGAAGATCCCTAAAAAGTCCCAGAAGTTGCGAAAGTGTCCAGTGGGATCTAGGGTGTAGCTGGGCTTCTGGATCGAAGATAAGGTCGGAGTAGTCCCCGACCTTGGTCCAAGGGTACTCTTCCGCCGGGAGATAGCGGACCTCGACTTCTGAAGCCAGCAGCCATGCGCGATGTACAAGCAAGCCTCAGAGGGCTCTTGTTGGTTTAAGCTAAGTATATTCGGGATATATAGTACATAATATGGTTTCTATAGTAAAGAATATTAGGTTTCCTCATTGTGGAAGCTTACATTAAATCCCTGAACAAGAGCCCAGAAGCCTCAGATATGTCGTCGCCATCTCGCTGGCCGCCTTGGCCTCCTCGCGGGTTTCGCGGACTTCCCGGCAAGTTTGGAGGAAGCTCTGATGGAGCCCCGACGTCAGCCGAGTCCACTCGAGGCTGTGGAAGAACGCTCAAGCTGCCAGTGCCCAAGCCCGAACTCGACTCCGCCAAAGCACTGATTGGGCTAGCTGGACCTACCGCTTCCGCATTCAATCTGGTCAGATCCTCCTGGAATTGATGCGGAGTCGGTAATCTGTCAAGGCTCTTGAGATTCATCGTCGCCACGCTTCTGGCTTTCTGCTTCGAGCCCAAGCTCGACTGGCCTGTAACCTGGGCCAGCCGGTGTCGCTGAAGCAAGCCGCCTGTGTTGAGCCTCTGCAGGTCCGCCTCGTAGCACTCTCCCAACTTCCTTGGGTCCGAGGGGTCCAAGCCCAAAGCTGGTACGTCGATTGAAGTTGAGGTACACTGAGATAGTTAAACCACTGTTAAACACCTGAAGCCTGAAACCCTTTTTGGCTCCCTCTACCAATGCAACGTCTTCCGCCCAGCATCCGGTGCAGTTCCCAGAAGCTGTCCCGTGACGGACCGATCAGCAGTTGACCAGACGGAACGGACATGTTTCCATGCGCTGTAGCCGACAGCCCCTCTCGCTACTAGCCGCTACTCGCATCTGCGGATAACAGTGGCATGCACTACTCTACCGAGCGCGATTCCTGCTGGAAATGTCCTTGCGTGGCTCCCGTGGCCCACTTTCACGACCACTAGGCCTTGATACAAAGTGTCTTTCAACGATTTCATCAACCTGGCAAATTAGCCTCAGCAGAAAACAACTCTTCGACTCTGTGCTGCTAACCGGCTGCTCGGAAGTTTTCACAACTCCCGCGAGTCGTTTGGCTACGGGGCTACTTGTAGCAGCACTTCTCCACACCTGGCTAAACGGCTAAACCATCCGAAGCTCGGTAAACGATTTGCAAAACCAGGGAAAAGACCAAAAACGGTGCGGACATGGCTGCGAACCTGGAACTTCTGAGCTGGACTGGGCCGCAGGTTGCAGCCGCCAGCAGGCTACTGTCTGGCATGTCTCGAAATCTTACACGAGGAATGCCTTGCACAGGTGGCACTGACATCCCAATTTGTGGCCTTAGGCCTTGGTCGCACTAGACTTGCCATGGACTGAACCGTTTGTGGCCATGGCTTACCATGGGTTACCATGCCACAGCCGCCACACGTCTCAGCCAAACCGCTCCTGGGCTGGTGGTAGCTGAGGCTTCCTTGGACACCACGGCACTCGAAGACGCGAAGCGGAAAGCGAATCTGTGCTCTTGGGCTCTTAGATTTGAAAAAACAGCTGGCAGCGCAGTTTCGGAAGTGCGCCGTCGAACACGGCTCTGCCATCCTCAACCTTATCACCACTCTCGACACACAAAACCGACGCTGTCGCAGCCATCTTGCCTCCCCGTCCAGCCAGTCTTCACCCAGTACATCCATGACAACCTCAGCTTTCAAGTTCTTCGGGCAAACCTTGAAGATTCTGGTTGCAGTGCTTCTAAGATCCTGGCAGCTTCGGTCCGGGCGAGGTGGCCTGGGTCCCTGTAGATCAGCAGCTGGTGGGCCGAGCAGCCAGGACAAAGGTAGTCCTTAAGCAGCTGGCCCGAAACACTTTCGAAGCGATGCTTACCCAAATGCCGCAGAGAGGCATTGATACTGTTCAGCACAACCTGCAGAAGGCTGCCGTTTGGCAGCAGGCAGCTTCTGTAGCTCTTGCACGTGCGATAAGTCTCCTCTCTGTAGGCCACGCTCAGCTTGTGCATACAAATTGCAGCTTTTCTGTACGTGGCTCAATGCCAGCATTTTTGACAGACAGCTGCGCAAGCCCTTGCGATTCAGGTTTTGCGCAAAGTTCCGAACATGTCGCAAAGCTCGTGGCTGGCCCAACTTTCCTGTTCCATACTGTTGGGATGCATCCTCCCATGCGTAGGTCCCGTGGTCTGCTGGATCACCAGTGACTAGTTGGGGTTCGTCGCTGCACCGCTGCTGTGGAGGGCACGCTGTCTTGTACCGCCACCTGTCTGCGTGGCTTTGGGGCAAGCATGCGTGCGAAGTACAAGTTGCAGAGCTCTTCCGAGCTTTGCAGGAGAAGTCCATCTGGTCCTTGTGCAGCAGGATGAGCTGCCGAATGCGTTCTCATGTCAGTCTTCTATAACTTATACAAACGTTCCGGCGGCTGTGCGGGTGCAACGAAGTTCAAGAGCCGGTTCCCATCGTAACCCGCTGTGCAGGGGAGCCCGGTATGCAGGTGATTCAAGCGGTTGCAGCACGATTCCCGCCCATTTTATCTTGAGTGGAACTCGAGCCCACCATCTGCTCTCAAATCTGTCTAGCTACTGCTGCAGCAATTTCATGCACTTGCGAATGGATCCGCTGGGGCCCCGCTACGGCCTCCGCCCAAGCCGAAACCAACACTACTTAAAGATGGACAACCTCGCCACAAACAAGTCGTAAAGAGCACTCGCCTCTCGCTACTCATTTTGGGGAGAGTTGGACCCGTCACCCTCGCCAACAGCTCAAAGTCTCCGGTGGCATGCCGTTTTCCAGGCGGAATAAGCTTCTTCCTCTTGCTCTCCATCCCCCGACTCGCGGGCTGACCCGTCAACCTGAAGTTCCGGGTCGAGGATACTGGTGCCATATACAACAGCACGCCTCGACCCCTGTTGTGCTTTCGTCTGCTGTCTGCTCTTCCGCATGCTCATCTATCAGGCTGGGATCAAGGGGGGTGGGCACTTGCCTGTCCCGCGTCTATGTCTTCGCGTGTGGGCCCACCTGCACTCGCAGGCCACGCAACGGCTTCTGTCGGCGTGAGACCGCGGATTGTTGCTTGGTGGGTCTCGTTCTCTCTTTCACGGCAAAGCCACTCTTGTTCCATGTTGCTGCCCTGCGCGCTGTGGAAACCCGTACCGAGAGGGCCACTTTCTGATGCAATTGATGCAAGGCCCGGACAAACGGCACCATCACGGAAAAGATGATCGAGGACCTGGGCAAGCGAAAAATGTCCACCTTCGAAAGTGCGTTCAATGTTCCGTGTGCAGTGAATCGCTGACTACTCTGACTCTCTCACATCAATCAAGGAAGCTTGCGTCAGCTCTTTGCCTCTCATCTGCCCCCAAGTGCAGGCAGGTCGGGTCGCGGCTAGAAGCTATGCGGCCTCACTTCTGCTTTCACGGACGGGTCGGCTGCAGAGTAGTGGAACTGCAACTTCACACTTGTCGCGTTCAATCTGAAGTCCACTGTGAGGGGCCCTTCTGTGGAAGTGACCTGCCCTAGGAGCTTCTTGATGGACTGTGCATGGTGCAAGTCTGTCTCAGCGAGAATGCGACATGAGGAGAAGTAGTGCCGCTTCCTCCCGGCTGTCTTTGAACACAGAGTCACATGAGCCTGCAGGTCAGCCAGGTTTTCGAGCTCTTTGCCCAACTTAGGCAGCTCATCAAGCCTGAACTTCATGGCCGCGACATACTTACTGCCTTGCCTCATTTGCTCTAGCTGCTCTTCTGTTGTGGCTCCGTTGAAGAATTGAAGTTTGACGTAGTCGACCTGAGACTGCAGCTCCTTGTTTGAGAAGACTGCTGACTGAACGACCAATGTAAGCCGACAGGCGCAGCGAATGGCTGGCTGCATTTCACTCTCGATGCATTTGGCTGTAGATGTGCCCAAGACTGTGCAGGACCCTTGGCATTCATAGTGCTGCTCGCCGCCGTCAAGCACCAAGACTTTGCTTTCCGCGAAGCGGGACCGAATTTCCCGTGCGTGATCTCCCGAGAGAAGCTGCTCTGAAGCAGGCAACTGTGACTTCACCCAAGCATCCCCCGCTAAGGGAGGAAGGACGTGGCAGCTCTTTACACAACTTGGCATGACTTCGTGCGCCGCCAAGGTGCCCAAGTGGCCGTCTCTGCAACGAAGGACAGTGGCTCCCAAATACACCAGGGAAGGATCGGGACCTCAGAGGCTTTCCGCACTAGCATCGGGCGGCTTCGCATATGACTGTTTATTCCTGCATAAACTGCACATTGCTTTATATCATACGAGTAGTATTGTTGTATATCGCTCTGATTACACGATATATAGTCGTGTTGTCTTCTATTTCTTATATACTTCTGTGTCATAAAGCCTACAAGCGTGCAGCTCTGCCAGTCACCCGAGGTCCCGGCAGGATGGATAGACCAGCGCGCCATCCATCACTGGACCAGGGCCTGCATAACCTCCACAAAAAAGGACAGGAATGAATGGCAAAAGAAGGTCTCTCTCTCTCTCTCTCTCTCTCTCTATATATATATATATAAATACTTGGGAGTCGGCCACAAGTCCGATCATCAAAACTTCACTCGATCTTCACAAGTCCGATCGGAACCCCGATCACCGGGGGTGCGCCATGGCATTCACCACGGGCCAAATCTGCCCAGCCGGCTGCCGCTGTACTACGAACCAGCACAAACAGCAGCTCGATCGATGGAACCCACCTGCCGAGCTCCTCCTCGTTCTTGCGCCGAGCTGGCGTGTGTAGTTCCTCGAGAGCGGGCACTAGTTCGACGAACGCTTGCAGACACTCAGCGATCGTCCCGTCCGAAACAGCCGAGAGCTTCTCGAACTGAGCCATCTGAAGATCCACCAACCATTGGCAAAACTCATCCCCGAACAAAGGAAGGGAGAGGATCTTCCTAACAGATCTATCCATGCTTGGCCTGAACAGCTGCACCGCGCGATCACACGTGCCTGCTAATGGCAACCGAGCGCCGTGCCTGAGACAGGTCATGATCAGATACACTTCCGGCAGAACTGCGCTGGGATCTAGCGCGCCGAGAGGATCGCTCGGCATATTTGTTCCGCGGAAGAGCACGGCTGATCTGCCGGCTATGTTACCGGCCAGAGCGGCGCACAACTCACTTTCTGGAGCGTGCCAAAATGCCGCCGTGATGAAGTCCTGTACGGCGAACGCCGCCTACTCCACCCCCGAGGTGTCCATCGTGCAAGGACCTGCCGAGGATCGAGCTGGTGGGTAGGTCGGGGCGAACGCTTTCGGAGCTGAGGTAGGAGTGGAGGCCATCGCCGCGATCTCCGGGCCAGTCTCCTCCACCCTGACCGTGCTGATCCGCTCATACTCCGCCGCCTCACGATCACGAAAGACATCTGTGAAGACCTGCGGAGTGATCGCAGCAGAGGTGCGCGAAAATCGCATATAGGAGCTCATGCGGTCACGAGCTTCCGTGAGTCCGTGAGAACGGCCTCGGCGTGCTCCGCCAGCTCGCCTTCTGCTGGAGGGTGCACGGTCGACATCCTCTGGTCGAACATCTGCTGAGCAGAGGTGGGCATGTTCGTGATCGCCGATGTAGCAGAGGAGCCCAGCTGCTGAACCGCCTGCCGAGCCGCCTCGTCCATGAGAGCTGGGGGGCCATTGCGAGCCCGAACGGCGTTGTTCTCGTCATGGGACCGGTGAGCGAGCGCCTCCTGCCCCACGAACTCCAAGGGTTCACTCTGAGCTTGGAGCGGGCTCTCAGATGGAAGTTCCCGCGATCGACCGGAAACTCATCCATGGTCGTTCCCACTTCCTCCGGGTTTTCGGCGATCGCGCTGTTGTACCACGGGGAGATCACCGCCAAGAGCTGGGCGAACTGCTGGATGTGGTCCGGGCCTTCAACGCGAGCGCGCTGGCTCCGGCATGCCTGGATCGAGATGATCAGCGCGGGGCCGGAGATGTGACTTACAGTGAGCCAGGTGCCCGGCACGGACATTCGCCCGCACTTGAGGTCGATCCGGTTGTTGGCGTCCCGGAACCGGCGTCGTTCCCATAGCCCTCCCGAGAGGAGCGGGCCGTCACCCTGAGCTCGCAAGTGCTCATGGCGTGATCACTTGCCATCACCGCTCCTCTCGGGCCGATCGCGTAGACCCGACCTCCGACCTCGAACGAAGTCACCGAGACCTTCCAGCCCACGAAGACCGAGATGACGATCGAGGGTCGGAACCACCCTTCGTTGGCCGTTCTGATCAGGACCTCGTCACAGAACTGCTGCTGGACCGAGAGATCCGAGTCCGAACGGTACCCTCAGAACACCCAATGGAAAAGGACCTCGTTTCCGTTGAAGACCTTCACATCCACATAGGTGGCCGAAGTGTCGAACATCACCGGCCATGTGAAAGGCTGGAAAGCCGGGTGCGATAGCGCCCGACTCGCACCCACTGAGCACAGGGACCTCCCGCCGTCGATGTCATCGAAAAGAGCAGTACTGCCTTGATGCCATTGAGCGTGTAGTTCGCGAACAGCGAACAGTGGTAGCCCGAATTCAGGGGCATGACCAGGTCCCGCTCGGTCAGACGTTGATCGAGCTGGCGGCATTCGAGATGATCTCCTCGGCCAGCCAGTTTTGAAAAGGGGAGATCACCCTGTCATCGCGATTGTCGATGACGAGGAGGGAATTCTTCGTCTCGTCCTGCTCTTCGACCACGATCTGCTGTACGAACTCCGGTCGCTGAACAGCGAACGGGTTGTGAGCGGCTGGAGCTGCACGGTCACGACGTCCCCGACGATCGTCGCGACCCAAGCCTGTGCCCCAATCGCCGGATGCGGCAGCAGGAGCCGCCGGGTTCTCAGGAGCCTCCGCTCCCGGAGTGTAGAACCCCCAGTTCCCAGGCTTCTCGCTCTGGGGGATCCTCCGGGGCAGCCCGAACTGCGGAGCCGCTGGGCGAAATCCCTGATAAGGGCCCGCAGGAGGGAACGACGTTGCTGCACTCGAGCGATCTAGCCTGTTCCTCCCACGCCGAATTTTTCTGTATGGCCGATCGGCTTGAGCCAAAATGGCTACGGAAAGACATATGATCACGTCTGTTCGAACGATCGGGAAACTGATCTCCTAATTCCTACCCACCAGAGCGATAATTACTTGAGAGTATAAAGTATAGAATGAAACATATGTAATCTGTTAGCATAGAAAATGGCATGACAGAAAATGAGATGAGATCATGTAATATTATGATATATGTATACACACACGGTGTCATAACATAGAAAGTACAACACACGATATCGTATGCTGTCTTTGTACATAATATACTATGTGTACTTATATACTAAGTGTACTAGTTTGAACAGTATTAAGCATAACTCTGCTAGAAACAATACTAGTAGTCACAATCATAATAGTCGTAATAATGATAAAGACGATGCATAACAATAAGAAGAATAATAACAATAACGACAATAAGAGTAATAGTACGAATAGCAGCAACAAGTAACAAAACAAATTGATAGCAGTGCTAATCACAACACTAGTAATAGCAACAATGAACATGACAATTCCACGGGCAACCATAGTTTGAATGTTGATAATGCAAACAAAAATTATAGTAATAGTACAGAAAATTTAGTCGATAGTAATATAAAAGAATATATTATATAAGAATACAAATTATGGCTGTTGTGCTACGAAACAGAACCACGCATCAAGAAATCACTCCAGAAATGCAAGCTGAATCCATGGCCGGGCCTAGAGTCAGATGTTCAGTGGCGGGGCCGCCTTTGCAAACTTTACGGCATGTCCAATCGAAGATCTCGGACCGGCGGTCCACAGGTGCGATTGATCCATCGTGAAGACACTGAAACATGATGGACTCGACATGGCGGCCATGCTTATCTACCATCCACGAATCTCCTTCGCATCGGACTGAAGTGAGCTCGCCGGTCCGAAAAACGGGGCCGGCGACTGTTGCGTTGTCACAGCCTTCTATCATGATGCCGTCGCTAGCTGCAGGGCAGGAGCACTTTGCATGGCCAATCTGCAGCATCGCTTCCACCGGCATGTGATCAGAACCATTTTGGCCGTCTGCGGCTCCCGGATAATCCATCCAGCCTGCATTGTCTTTCAATGAAAGGCTCAATTCTGACTCTGACCCTCTTCTCGTGGTTCTAAAGCAGAAGCGGTCTAGCCACCCCAGTTGCAAATCTTCGTGCTTCGCTGCCCAGGTCAAGTTTCCGTCTTTCTTGCTAGGCTTCATGTAGCAGTTCCTCGTCAAGTTCAGTAGCTCGTCCATGTGGCAATAAGACGCGCTTTCTTGCCGATGGTCTGCACCACCGCAATTGGCAAGCTTCTCTCCGAGAAGTTTGCACTCCTGTGCACCATGACGCTTGTAAGTGGGAAGGTAATCGGTGTAAGGCTCGTTGCAGGTGAAGCCGAATCCAGAGTTGTCTTCCACCGACTTCACCAAACTATCAGCAAAAGGACTCTGATCCCAGAGCGGATCGTTTGCCGCAAGCTTGCGACGACCAGCTGGGGACAAGAGCTGTGCTTCGATGGTGCTAAGTGGATTTTCGCTTTCCCCAAGCTCCCCTTGCCGTAGGCGGAAATTTAGATCACCAAGCATGATGACTGCATCTGGTCCTTCGTCTAGGCCTTCGACTTCAGGAAGGTCACAGGTGGGGGAATCTCGATCGAAAATGCCACAGGGTTTTTTGAGCTCACCCGATTTCGAGATCACTTCCTCGCTCAGAATCTTGCTCTTCTTGTCACGGGCTCGCAGTTTGGACAACAAGTAAGTGATGCCCATGTGGCGCTTGTTTGCGGACTCGCTGTCGAGGTGGGCGCAAATGAAGTCCACGCGCGTGGCGGGCCGTGCCGGAGATGCAGGGAAGCTGAGCGTCATGGCCACACCGCCCTTTCCCTTGTAGTCCGAGGCTAAGACCTGTGTCTGGGTGCTGAAGAGCAAGACTTCTGATGACGCATCGGCTTTCGCGAAAGCGATGTGGTGCTCAGGTCCTAGGACGCTACTCCACGGTGTCATTGAGATCACCTCGGAAGAGTTGCCGATGAACTCGCCATTGAGCGGACGCCGCGCAAACAAGGAAGCCATCTGAGCGTTGATGTTGCCGCCAGCAGCACCCCAGTGCTGCCCATGTGCCACTTCCTTCCACTGTGCCGGCATCCAGTCGCGCAGCGGCTTCGATGCCTCCGTTTGGCAGCTAACGATGAAGTCTGCTTCGATCTGCGAGAGCCTCAAAGCTTCCTCCTTCAAGTCGGCCTTCCCGGAGTTCCAAGTCCACATCCGCGCGTTCAGCAGCCTGGAAACCAGCCAGTCACCCTGCTCGAGCTGCTCACCGGCGAGACGCAGTCGGTTTGCATGGCTCTGTACAAAGGCTATCAAGATAAGGGCCCAACGCCCAAGCATTTGGCAAACGAAAGTGCCGGAAGGCACTGTGAGCTGTGAGCTATCGAGCCACGGCCTCCGGTGGGTGGCAATTAGGACTGAGCACCTCAGCACCTCCAACTTGATCCGTCTGCTGCCGGCAGGGCTGAGCTCATGGCACCATGATGTCTCGGGACATTCGATGAGCACGAACCCAAAGCCTCAACCATGGAGTCGCGCTGCCCATGAAAACTGGTCCCACATGCATGCCCAAGTTGCTGCAAGGGCAAACCACAGCATCCCAGGAGGTTGCAGCAGCGCGCCCTTGCTATGCAGTTTGTCCAGACGTTCGGTCGCGTTGTGTTCCGACATGGAACCAAAAAAGCCAAGACACCGCAGCATGCCTTCACCTCATTGAGTTCAGGGCAACCCAGGACCAAGTGCAGTGGGCGCACATCGCGCGAAGGGTCAAGGCCGCGAAGGATCCGAAACGCCCTGACTTCTCAGCCCAGGCTCCAAAGAAGATGCACATGATCAGCAAGCCCCACTTCAGAATGAATCCGGCAACGAATGCATTCCTGCCCAGCGATGGACCACTGCACTTCGCGCAAAACACTGCACATACGGCCTCCACCCAATTACAATGAAGACATAGATCGCATAAACCTTGGCACCAGCTGTCGCAGGTGGCAATCTGGCATCACCCATGGCCACGTTCCCGAAGACTCAAGCCCAGCCTAAACAACTCGGCATCCAATCCAAGGCGAGATGCCGCTTCTGCCAGGTCAAGGCACGAGACCGTCCAAGCAGAAAAAGTAAGCCTTGGAGACATGCTTCAGGTTAAAAAGCGACACCGACGACTAACTCAAGACTCGACGTGCTCAAAGCAAAACTCTCCCAAGGAGCGGGATGCCGAACTCGCCTTCGGTTTTCGCGACAATGCAAGACTGAAGTGTCGCAAAAATATCACAGCACATCACGCAGCCCCAAACCCTTACCCTATTGCATGACCAGCTGCAGCATTGTCGAGGTGGAGCCTTTGCATGACATGTCTGGCTTCCGAATTTCTTGGCAAAGATAGCACCTGGTCAGCGCGCCTCCTGGCCCTGAGGCGCGTCGACAGGTCCAGGTGCCGCGCTGGCCGGTGCAGGTGCCACTTCACGGTCCTGGCAATCCATACAGATTCATCCTCTGCTGATATAAGGACTCAGTGTATATTCATATTATATGCATGTCAATATGAGGTTGAGCTTTCCATGAGCCCTTCCGGCCTGAGCCGTTGCGTGTGGCGCTTCCTCCTCCTGTCAATCTGAACGCGTTCATGACATGATTAGAAGGGCCAACCGAGGGAGACAAGAGGAATGAGACTGCATGGACGTCTTGTCTCTGCTCGCAAACCAAACCTTTTTTAATGAGCGGCATCTTCCTTCTGCTTCGTGCCTCCTCCTCCTCTTCTTCTGTCACGGCCGTCGACTCGCGTGTACCAGTTTCGACATCGCGGCGCCCCTTGCAGCGATCTGGAGTTGCTGTGTGCAAACCCGAATCTTGGCTTTGAGGCCGGGGCAGAGGCAGCACCACGCTTTGCCTCCTGAGATACACCGAATACAGATCGGCCGGAAAGCTACATGCTTCAGCCGCATGTGCTGCCGTCCTCAGTGCCAGAAGATTTCGCAGAGCGAAATCTGAAACTCTTGGCTTTCCTGACAGGGCTGAGAAAAAGATCTCCAGAAGCAACTTTGGAGCTCCACTGCTGCCGGCCGGCGAGCGCTTTGGTCTCAGCAGCCGTCGACGGAGAATGGAAGAGCAGCCAACTAGCGTCTCAAAAAGGACGGCAAGAATACAGTACCTCAGAGATTTCATGCAACTGAAATGCTATCCAAACATGTCAGGACTCCGGGTGGCCCTTTGCCGCAGTTGTTGCTGGGTCTACTTCGCTGCTTGAAATCACCACTTGGTCTCCGTTCGTAGTCCTAGCTTCTGACAGCCTGCCCATGTTCACTGACCTGTGACCTCTGAACAATTTCTTAGCTCGTCGGTCCCAACGGTAAGACGAAAGGACGTCTCGTGCCTTTGCTGTTCTGTCTGTTGGACCTCGAACACCTGACTGTGTGATAATGCTTGCCTCCTGCATAAGACCCCCCACTTCTGGACAAGCCGAGATGCACAGATGAAGCTCCGATCGGCGGTAGGAGAACTGCCTTGCAAGTGGGGAGTCGAAGGCTCGAAGGTCGCCGACATTCGTCGGATTTGAGGCTACAGCATGCAACTTTCAGCGAAAACGATAGAAGCGAACTCTACTCAAGAGATCTCAAGAGGATAGCCGAGAAACGATGTGGAGCATGTTGCCCGAGACAGCACCTGCCATCGCATCAGCCAGTTCCCAAGTAAGCGTGGCGGGGCTGGCATTGGCCTGAATAGGCCAACATGAGCGCATCGATCTTCATGTTGATCATTGCATACCATGCAGCCAAGAAGAAGACTGCGACCACAAACCTGGGATCTCTGGACCATTACTGGCAAGGGCCACAAGTTACGAGCTTGTGAAGTCTGGTGGCGTGATGTCCACCATGGATCGGTGCAGGCCGCCGCTGCGTGGTTTCAGCTGTGTGCGATCGTACCACTCGACCCAGTGGCGGCCACTTCCCTGAGCAGCGAATTCGCACAGACTCAAACAAAGCATTGAAGCCGTCGCAACGCAGGCTCTGTCCTCCAAGAAGAAAGCCACCAAACCACGAAAGTCCTGGACATTCGGCTAGGAAACCCCGTGCAGGTTGCGTCCCAATCCGACCATGAGCCCCGAAGAGTCTGTTTTGAAAATTCTGATAACGCCCCCTGCCAGGTCGGAGGATCTGAGGCCCTGTGAAAAACGTCGCGGCAGGCAGAGCACTTTCGTGACACTGCGACAGCATGACGTGCTTGATTATCGGCGCCAACACGAAGCAGCACCTGCACTGTCACGACAAGTTCTTGCAGGCTTTGCCTGTCAAGGTGTGGCAGGGTCCCCATGTGCTCCATCTACGACGACGACGACGAGGTCAGTTCTAAAATCCTGTCGGGCTCAAACCGACAAGATCATGCAAACGCGACGAAGTCTTCAAGCCTGTGCTCTAACCCGAGTCGCCTGGCTGCAGGCAAGATCTTCTAGAAACGATCGCTGAATTCGGGATACTCCGACACACCCGCTAGTGCCAGGTTGCCCTTCGCGAGCGTGGTAGTATAGGAAAACGTGGTTCGCATCTGAAGAAGGCATCAGCGTGTCAAATGACAGCATGTAATCCATGTTCCAGCCAGGTCTCTGCACAGGCGTAAGAAAGTGGGCATCAAGTACATCCCAAGAAAGACCATCCTCGCTGGCCAGAAGCGCAAAGCTTGAACCAGTCATGCCAAGGGCACTCCGTGTTAGCCTGCTCTGCAGCGCCAGCAGCTTTCGTGGCGATCCATGGTCCAGGGCATCGTAGGTCGAGTCGCGCCGACTCAGCGTATCGAAGCCCTGAATTATCTTGAAGGATCCTGCTCCAATAATCTGTGGATGGACATCCGAGGCAGTCCGGAAAAGGGGTGTCTCTTGCAGCCGGCGATAAGGCCCTTCAGCGGCAGGTGCCTCTGCGAGGCCAATGAACAGAGGCTGGGGATCGTCGATCCTGGCATCCGTCAAAAAAGTAAGGGATGCCGAGTAATACAGGAGCCAGCGTGCGGCTTTCTCATCGTACACGACGAAGGGGTTGCCGACGCGCGACTTACCGACCTTCTCCCACTCCAGCTGAGGTTCCAACACCTGGCGTGGCTCACTCCACTGCCAAGCCCCTGACTCCTCTAACAGCGGAGCCGTCTTAAGGAAGATTGACGCAGGTTGGAACACGGACTCGCCACGCTGCTCATAGAAGAGGTACACCACGCCCTCGAGAAGACGGACGAAAGGGCCAACGGCTCCAGGTACGTTAACCGCCAGTTCTGAGGCAGTCCAATTTAAAAGCCCATCTGTGGAGGAAAGATGAAGAATCCCTTTGGCACAGGGCACAAAGAGGTGGTAGCAACCTGAAACTTCAAGGATGCTCGGATCGCCGAGTGCTGGGTTCCCCTTGCGAAGCGACGTCAGCAGAGGGTTCTGGACAAAGTCTTGAACCGTCGCAGCCTGCGCAGGCTGCCAGCTTTTTGGATCATTTGCCTCGAACTCCAGAGACTTTAAACATGCCACTTCCCGCGTGAGGGCTGCAAGCTCCGCTGACAGAGCCCGGACCGGCGAATGTGGTTGGACCTGAGCCTCAGCACCGCAGGCAGAGCCCATGAAAGACAGCTCTGCCTCCTCCTCAAAGCCGAGATGAGCTGCGCAAAGCGTTACGGACCCAGATGACCTTCAGCTACTACTGTAGGATCCCCGCTTATCATGCCCTATATGCTTATTATTTGGCGGCACCCACATGCTGGCATGAGGGAGGGAGTCTGCCGGCCTCCTTGAAGTGCTTCCACACGAACCTCTACAGTTGCTGGCTGCGGCTTGACTAGTAGAATGTCCCTAGGGCTGAACAGAGTGAGGAGAAATGCGCCCGAGAAGCTGGTAGGGATTGAATATGAAGGGTGCCTGCGCAGCTATGGGTTGTGAAGCGGACTTTGCAGTCGTGGCAACGTTTGAGTTGGCCGCTCTGCTTCTAGCCGGGATGCCCACAGCCATGATGCCACTGTTAGTCCCAAGCAGATGAAGATCCACCAAACGTCTCCAGCGAACTCACCTGCACCTCTAGCAAGCAGTTCCACACTGAGAAGAAATGAGAACTGCATGGCAAGATCACCATCAGGCTTCCTGTCTGCAGTGTTTACACTGCTTCGAAACAGATGCAAACAGGTTAGAAAGAAAACTTCGACGAAGATGTACAGGCCACCCTGTGCCTGACACGCCGCCAGCAACCAAGATCAGCACAACTCCAGCCAACAAGGTCACTCCATCCTCGGGGTGGCCAAGCGAAGCTGCACAGCACCGAAACTCTCGGACCGAGTGTTGCCCGGTCACGTAATACGCTATGGCCGCATAGTCCAAGTACAGTCCTCCGACTTTCTTCAGCTGGAACCTTCAACTTTTCATGCGCCGGCGGGTGCTTGCGACATCAACATGCTTCCATTCCTCGTGCCATTTTGCATCTGGGAGACTTGCCGGGCAAAGCCTCACCAATGAATGGACGGCGATCGGTTGGCAAACCTCTGCCCGTGTTGACATAGGTCGCCCCACCATAGCGGATTTCGTTGATGACCTGAGCGTTGGGGAGCTTTCGCGGGGCCCAAAGCGCCGTGCCTTCAGTTGCCAAGCTGCGTAGTGGCCGATGATCTTCGCTTGGAAGATAAACATGAGCCTACCAGATATTACCAGATACATGAGCTTCCGAACTACTGCGGGAGAGCCATGCTGCGGCTGAGAGTCGGCGAGAGGGTGAACATCTGCTTCAAGAAACGCTCGAAAGCCACCTGACGGCTGCCAGATCTCTCTCGAGTCTTTAGGCGTCCATGTTCTCAAGCGGGGTTCTGACTTGAAAGCTGACGATGGTTGCTAAAGGCTGCGCTGAGGTTGCGCTGAGGTACAGGTTGCCAACTTGTGCATGTTGGCGGAACTGACATCATCTGCAGCAAACATGAAGCAACTGCAACATGCAGGTATGAACCTTGCAGTTGCGTTCCATCCACATCTCAGCCTAAGCTTCCCGAGGCTTACTTTCAAATTGTGAGAATGCAGGCTAGGCCATGAAACCACCATCACGTGTCCGGCGGGTGAGCTTGCGGCTTGGCACTATCGCCTTAGCGGCCCTGCGGCCGAGGCGGCCGAGGGGCCAAGAGTGGAAGAGAGGTGGCAACCAGGAAGAGCAGCAACAGCCAGGAGAACCAGACCTGCTCTGAGCCGGAGGATGCGCGAAACCGCTTTGCTGCGAGAGTCTGGGCGTCCGACGCCCACAGTCTTGGCCATCACTTCAGCTGATGACATCGTGTCCTGAACTTGTCTTACTCTGCCTAACGGCAACTTCGAAAGCTGTGCCAGAGGCCGCCTGGTTCAGATTCAAGAAAGCCTCGAAAACGCCTCCACGCACCTGCAAGTCTTGTGCATTCCGGGCCCCCGTCCGCCCTTCCCTGCTACTGCTGCTGCTGCATGCTGCTGCTCTGTAGATGGGCCTCGTCTGCTAGCAGCACAAGCAGCCACACAAAGACCAGCAAGGGCATACTCCACGACACGAAGAGCTGCCTTGGCTGACCAGAAAGCTCTCGGACAATGCCAAGCTCGCTTGTAGTGTGACAGAGCAGCGGAGTTTCTCGCAGGCACATGGGGCCAAGGCACGTGAAGTAGTATCCCACATGTGCCTCAAATATGACTCGAGTTCAGAAGGCAATGTTGGAAGAAGCTTTGTACTGCAAATAGACCGTAAAATCTCTACATCATATCATCACAGGACACAGCAGAGATGGAGCAGGCTTCTCTGCTCGACTCGTTGCATGTAAGTGGCATAATAGAACGTCAGTGCCTGCAGTGTCACAACGTTCGAAGCGCTTTGCTATCACATGTTACAACCCTTAAACCCTTAAAGTGGTCTGATAGCAACCTTACCCTGAACACCTTATAGTAGCCGGAAGAGCCTCTGGCAGCTGTAGCACTTGGCCCAATCGGAATGCCTGGCGCGTCAGGACCTGCTCACCTCAGACAGCCACGGAGGCGGGAATAAGATTACAAAAACGCTACTTTAAAGTTACCATGAGGAATCCCTATAAAAGGTTGCTTCAGTAGCCTGTAGCAGGGTTGTGAAGGGTTGTTCACGGTCCGGTCTTAGTGCGGGCGGAGCCGCCAGTCCCGGAAGAAAGCTTGGAGAAAAAGCCCAGGACGGTGTTGAAGCCAAGGTCACGGCCCTGCAACAATGTTCCAACTGGAGGCTGGAAGCATGCCGAGTCTACCATGCGTGCAATTAGTGTGAAAGTATCATCATCATCATCATCATCATCATCATCACGACGGATGCTTCTCACACGCACTGCCTGGCCTTGGCCAGGTGGAAGTACTCCGAATGCTTGATGGATCTCCCTTCACCCCGAAGTGTGAAGTCCATACCTCCCAAAGTGGCCAGAGTTTCAGAGAGGTACAGGCCACACAAACACCGAGCCTGCGAAGATATCCTCAGAGAGGTTGACTGTTTTGGTCGCTTTGGAGACACCGCCCTGCTGCATCATGGACAGCCTTGGCCATGCCATGCATGCGACGCATGCCACGCGCATTCCGCATCTTCAGCTGCGCAACTTGTTCATGATGTCGGGATGGCCGTAATGCATTCTGGCACCAAGCACTGCCTCCAGTGAGTCAGAGCTTGCCAGCGCTAGGGCGCAGGGGACAGTGCAGCCCGGGGGCATAGGTTCTTTGCAGGATTGTCCCGAAGGCTACTTCAGCGGAGGCAGCGAAGTCCCCAATCGATCCGATGTCACCTGATCATCGGACAGGATGAAGTGACCACATCGAAGTGAAGAGCGTTTGACTTCCAGACTCGACAGAGGTCCACACGAAGGACTGGTGTGCTGCCGCAGTGCTCGTGATGTGCTCCGGGAATCCTACAATTCGCTTCGACAGCCCATCACCTCTCCGTCGCGAGCGGAATTCACCTCAAGCTTTCTGAAGAGGCTGACCCAAAGTTGCACGCAAGACCAGATCGAAAACACGATTGAAAAGCAGGATCCCTTCAGGTGCCCCCCTTGAACTGTTTACACTTCATCTGTTGTGGAAGACAAAAAAAAGTTCCGCATGAGCTGCCTACATGATCAGATGAGAAAACGCATCCGTGTCAATACCTCGATGCGTCAAATATGCGTGTACGCTCAATTTGCTGCTCTGGCTCCAATGCTAAATATGCATGCTTTGTACAAGCAGCCGAGTGCACATGGCAGCAGCATCATTTGCTCCTCAGCGCACACTACCATGGTCAGGCAAGAAGGAAGGGCACGATGCCGGTCGTCTCACTGCAACCATGAGTCAAAGTATGCGCCCTGATTCGCATCGATGCATTGCGTAAACAGGCCACGCATGAATGGAATTGCATGGTTCTGGTTATCACCCTTGCCATCGCCCAGGATAGGGTAGCCCGGCAGCTCCACGCGATACTTGGCCTGCCAGACTACAGGACCCTTCCCGGAGCCACGTAACAAAGCAAAGCGCGACTCCAGCTGCAGCGAGAAGTCCTTCTTCAATCCGGTGGGCAAATCTTCGCAGGCGGCGTCAATGAGACTGCTGTAGTAGCGTCGCTTCTGCTTCGGATGAACCAGATCAGACTCTGCAGTGATACCCTTGTCATCCTTGGCTGCGAGACAGACCTTTCGGCACACTGATTGCAAGTGCGGTGGCGAAAGCTAACACGCTTTTCCTGCCTGAGGCTTTAAAGGCTTTTAACACTTGCGGCAATTTTGTGCTCGCTCGGCCAACATTCTCTAAGCATGCGGGAAATGTACAAACGAACCTCAAGCAAAGCTGCACAGTCGATGAATGCCACCTTCAGACAGTCGGGAAACTTTGCGAACATCCTGGCCACCAGAAGCAATAGAATTGTCTTGGACAGTGACTGCAAGATGCTGCAGGTCACTTAGAAGTGTTCGTCCTGTTGGTGTGCTCCAGCTGCGTCTTGTCAAAAAACTTATACCTGACCACTTTGACTTGGCCAAACTTGTCAAGCCTCCTCCCTGCTCAGACCAGTCAATTGGGGGCAGAAGGGGAGCAAGTGCCGTCGCGGTACATTTGCATGGACACCAGGCAAGTGAAGCAATCACTGGGATTCCAAATCCCGGGCTTCGCGAGGCTGCTGGCTCGGTCAGCTTGTACCTGCATACACGGCCAAGATGGCCCCGTTGATACTGTCATCGAGTCATCGACATGTAAAGTCTGACCGATGTTTGCTGTGTGGCATTGGCCTAACTATCCTCTTGGTCACGATGTGCATGACTGCGCTCTTGCTTTTGTTCTTACTCTCAGCACCGCCACACCACCACCACCACCACCACCACCGCCACCACCACAACTGCTACTGCACTACTACTGCTACTGCTACTCCTCCTCCTCCTCATCCTCCACTACCGCCTCCGCCATGTTGTCGTCGTCGACCTCGTCGTCGTCATCGTCGGCGCAGTCAGTGCTCACACTCCCGGCCATGACAGGCTATCGCACCAGCACTTTTGATTACCAGATACACCATCACATTGAAAAGCGTTTGTCACTGAACGTCTCGTGGTCAGATGTGAGTTTGAAGCCAGGCACCTCCCAGTGGCACTGCAGCGCTGGATGGTACAGGCACATGCCAGCCACCTGAACTCGACGAAGGATTCGCGACTCAGGACTCGGGCACCGCTCGCTTAGATCAAAATGGGCCATGGGGCGGTTCGCCAGAGCGTCTGCATTCGCATGGATGCCCAGGCTGCTGTCATGTTCCACTGCTGATCCGTATACCTGGAAAGAGAGGGTAGGCTTTCTTACACGCCTCACTGCATACGACCGTCCAGTCTGCGTGGGCGCTAAAGGTATGGCGGTGCCAAATCAATATATAACATTGTGCCTTTAGTCAGCGTGCTGCCACGGAACTCTTCCCACTGGCTCCCAGCAACAGGCCAGCCACTCTCGCCCCACTTCACCTGGCACATCAGCGTGCTGCAGTCGCCAACAGCATGCGGCCATCCCCGACCGAAATCCAAAGGCCTGCATCCTGTTTGAGAACGTGAGAAACTCCTCCTCATACTTTGCCGCTAGCCTGTTGCTTCCAAAACGGGCAAAAGGAAGGCTTCGAAAGACTTAGAAAAATATAAAGATTTGAGACGAAGGGCCAATCCATGAGTGGGACCGTCTCTTCTCGACCCTGGAAAAGCTCTTTCTTGAGCATGAGGATGGACTCTCCGTAGTGGGGGATGCAGACCGTGAGCCCTGGGAAGTAGGGAGCCCGGAATGGACGGGGCACCGGGAGACCGAGGCCCCTGGACAGAGCCAGGATCCTCCACTGCACATCCGGGTTGTTCGGCCAGTGCGGATCATGCATACAGCAATAGGTCTTGAAGCCTACCTCGAAGGCCGTCTTCTCACGGAAGATGTCCGGAACCTTCACCTTGCGTCTGGGCCTGGGCGGTGCCTTCTCGCGAACGGTTGTAGCAGCATAGCTGCCTGACATGAAGTCGGCCTCTTCCATGACCGGAGGATCTGCAACCGGTGTGACGGCTTCGCGTCGCCGCTTTGCCAAGGGTTGACGCAACTGCTTCCAGTAGACTTGGTGGCCGGACTCGCCAGATTTGAAGGACAGGTCGCCCATCAAGTGGTTGTCTATTTTGTCTTCATAGCGCATGTACTCCAGGATCCTGTCCCAAATTGCAGGGAAAAAAGGCGAGAACTGTGCCACCTGCTCGCCCGATCGCCCATCAGAGCCAGCGAAGGAGTAGGGCAAGACCTGCCCGGGGCCCGATATCACGCCTACTTCTCTCGGCAGGAGTGCACCCGATGCGTGGACCTTCCGAGAGAATCGCTCCGGAAGCTTCGCGACGGAGTCCTGCAGCAGTGAGGGTCGCAGACTTCGCACAGAACGACCAACCCTCTCCTCGAGCGCCCAGCTGACGACTCGGCAGCCGCGTTGGACAAAGACGGCTGCCACACCCAGCACAGAACACCTCTGGACACAGAGCAAACCATCGGCGGAAAAAGAGCCGAGAATCCTACTTTCAGGCAAGGCGCATCAGGGTGAACCACAACTGCGTGTCAGAGATGAACAGAACGAGAGTGGTAAACCACAGGACAAACCACAAGAGGAAGTCGGATCCCCATTCAGTGCTGTAGTAAATCTTTGACAATTCGGATACCGACTCTCGCCCAGGAAGGGCAATCTGCAAAGCCACCGTTGCATCATACATGGCTCGGAAAATGATCAGGCCCAGCATGAACTTCACGGTGAAGACCAAGATCCAAAACAAGTACCGGACCATGCGCATGTAACACGGGACCGGCGTCAGTTCCCACATCTTGTCCGTGTTGCTACCGCAGCTGCGCAGGCAGCAGCCAGAAGGTATCAGCAGCAAGTAGGTCAACCCCGTCCCAGACAAGGCAAAGTGCAGAACAAGGAGGGGTGTAAGAGGAAGGCCGAACTGGCTATCCTCGTCCAAAGTCGCATCTCGAATGGCAACATAAGTGAAGATCGGCATCATCCTGAGGCTAGTTGGAGAGCGCTCTCCACGCGGGAAGTCGCGACTGTACAAAAGAGCGCACAACACATTCTGTACCGAGGCAGATGCCACCACACTGTTTTCCAAATGCCTTGGCTGAAAGCTGCCGCAAAACATGTCGTCCAACGGCAAATCCAAAAACATTGGACGTGCAACCGGGATGCTGCGGCCGATACAGGTAAGGGGTGCCTGCATCCTGAGGATGCGCCCAGTTACCTGCCATCGGGCACACGCCCAAAGCAGCGCGTGCAGCGGCACCACCAGAGCGACCGCCGCAAAGCGGACCGCCGTACTCTGCCCGAGCAGCGGCACATTGCCATCTGCGGATGGCTCTGGATCGCCAGCAACAGCACCTGTCTCTCACTGCCGCAATTTGATTGGTGGCAGTGGACTCGTGTTCCAGCCTGTAGAAAGAGATACCGGACGCAAAGGTGCATCCAAGCGGCATACCCCCGCGAAGAACAGTACGAGATGCAGCAGTACCACACGATGCGTAGCCGCAAACACGCCCCACAGCGAATGAATCTCTCTGTGTGTCTTGGTTTCGGCTGCTTCCAGTGTGACCTACACACAAACACACACACACACACCGGTCCAGCTGTCCAAGATTTGGTAACGAGTTTTCGCAACGAAGCTACTCGAATGACGCTGCAAGCCTGCCAATCGACCCTGGCCAGGGCGAGAAAGCGTCGCTCATGCTGCAGGTCGAAAAGCCGGGTACCATCCTGCAGCAGCAGCCCTTCCACCATACGGCTCGGATCACAGAAGAACTCGTTCCAATCCTTGGTTAGTATCTCAGCACAAGGACGCACAGGGACCAATGACAAATCAAGAGTCGTCGTAGTTTGCCACCTTGGCCAGGCTCGAAAAAGACGATTTGCAACTCGACCGTGGTACGGTCGCTCTGTCACTGAGGCGGCAGCGTCCGGAAGCAGGAAATTGTCCAGCCCCGGCTTCAACTTCTTCTTGTCTTTTTGCGAGTTGTGGTCTATGTCAACATACTGGTACCTCGGCACGCCCCTAGCCCTACTGTCTTGCAGGCAAAATCGGCAACACAGGGCAAGACAAGCTCAACGTCCGGGATGCCACTCGTCAAAAACCACGTTGTAGATCGGTCGGATGATTTTACTCAGAAAGAGGTTGCTCCTGAAGGGAGCACCTGGCAAGCTTGCCTCTGGCATGGGCACCCCATAGACCTCTTCGAAGTCTGCAGGATTGGCGGCTAAGGCAAGCTCTGTGATGAAGTAGACTGCCTGAAAAGCGCACTTTCACAAACACACACACACGCACACACACACACACACACACACACACACACACAGACACACACACACACACACACACACACACACACACACACACACACACACACCCGCGCACACACACACACACACATCCGCTGCCACTCAGCACCCTGGTGGAATGCTGGCAAGTTTTCGTAGAATCCAGTCCCACAGAAACAATCGGCCCCGCCTCCGGCATGAATCTCACATTGCCTGCTTCCCCCCAAACTAACAAGTAGACAGCCATCTCCGTCAGCTGCCGCGACAGAATCGCCGCTGTGGCCGGATCCAGCTCATCTTTGCGCAGCGGCTCCCACCTCGCCCCTCCCACAGGGCGTGGCCTGGCAAGCACGAAGCTCATAGCTCGGTGGCTCATAGCGCAACGTGACACTGACGTTATCATCCAATGCGAGCGGCTCATCTCCGGAAAGACTGGGTACTGCGGCAGGTTCATGTTCAGCCAGCTTCGTCCGCCAACGAAGGAAGCCATCCATCATTTCGTAGTACAACTCCTCCACTGCCTGTGGGGCCCCGACAAACTCTGGAAACACTTTGGACAGCTGTGGACATGCTCGGTTTTGTCGCTGCAAGGCTCCAAACAAATGTCTGAGTAGAGCCGTTCTATAAGTATGACTGAAGCCGAGCGCTCGAGTGCTTGCTTAAGCCCACTGCCTCTTGCAGCATCAGCCCCTCGTTGATTGATGCTCCTTCGCCCATCGAGCGATCGGCAACCATCGCACACTGGGAGCGCCAGAGCGACAGCAGGTGCTCATACTGGTTCCGGACGCTGTCAATTTGAAAGTCAAAGGATTCTTTCAGCGCACCGAAGAGGCTCGAGGTCGAATTGGCAAATTCCGCAGCGCCCGGTAAAACGCGGAGGCAGTGGCGTTCGATCCACTCTGCCTCCAGCTGTTGCTTCAGCTGGCTGCGGCAAGACACCCTTGGCGTCCTCGAGCCAGCTCGGCTCACAGGTGCCTCGTCACCTCAAAATCACGGGAAGCAACACCCCGAAAAGCTGAGGAGAGGCTGCCGAATCCTTCAATGCAACCCACGGAACGTTCCGTCATTTGCTCAGGCTCTTTTGTAGGCTGTGGGAGGATCCAGGATGATACAACGGAAATGGTAAACAAAATGGCCAAGCATACCACTGGCACCAGCAAAGCGACCTGAGCGTCCAAAATTGCCAGGCCCAGCTTCGAAAGCACTCAACAAAACCCGGTCTGCAGACCATGCAAGAACTAAACTGATCCAGAAGTCCCAAAAATGATAACGACCCCTTCCCCTGAAACGACAACGTCTTAAGGCCAGGCAGCTGTAGAAGCGGAGAATCTCGTGTCAATGCAGAACGGCGGCCCGGGCAGAGTGCAGCACTTCCGGCCCTGGAGCATCACCGACCCCCACCTGAGCCCGACTCTTTCGCCAAACCGCTAAAGACAGAACGAAACATGGGTGGTTGTCAAAATGATGACCTCTTTTGGGGTACCCTAAATATTAGGTGCCGTATTAACATAAGGACCCAAAAGGGACCATAATTTTGACAGGTGAAGAATCACATACAGACGGACAGATAGGCACGTACATAAGTAGGTTCGCACATGTTGTGGTTGTGTGTGTGGGTGATTGTCGGTGTGTGTGCGCCCACGTGTGCCCATGGAAGGGCTGAGTTGGAGGCTTAAAGCAAGCCGCGCGTTGACTGCGAGGTTGGTCGCTTCCAAAAACTTTGAAGCAGTCTCATTCTCTGCCAACCTCCACGCAATTGCTTCCGTCTCTTCCAACAGCCTCAGACTCCATAGGCGTAAAGAAACAGCACAAATTCAAGTTTGTCTCAGTTTGCAAGACCTACCCAGGCGAACCTTTGCTGTGCATCTGCCCGCCTGTCGTGCTCCCTATTGAGACTGCAAGCCAAGCAACGTTGTCGCATTTTCACAAGCCTCTGTGGCCAAGGAGCCTTTTTCTAACCACTGCCTTCAAAGGGGGCACAGCATCTACCGCATCCAAGAGGGAAAGTCGCGAGTTTAAGTTTTGTCAGGGAACAGGCTGTCTATGTCGTATTGGTCGCCCAAGATCATCCTCAATCCTGCAAGTGGTGGCACATCGTGAAGGCGTGATCATGACCACTGGATTCACTGCATGAACCATGCGTGGCCACCTCTGTCCAGTTCTGATTCTTCCGCCCCCAACGCTTCAAAGTCCTTGACGGATCTCCTCACCTCAGGAGATGCTTCGCGACACATGCCACGGCTGCCACGGGCACTGCCGCCTTCTCTCTCCAAGCCCTCGCGCCCCCCTGTACTATACCAAGACTATGCTATACTTCACTTTACTATACTGTATCTTACTGTACTGTAGTATATCCCGTGCCAGACGATGCTATATCAGACTAGACTACGCGACTACGCTGTATTACTTCATTACAGTGCAGTCTGGGCCCTGCCTTGTCACAGTTCAGTCGAATCAACCTCTTCATGCTCTCTCTGGAATAGGATGCTGGAACATTGCACCTCAGCGTGTCAGAGTGAGCCATGCATCTGAAGCTCTGCCGCCGACCCTCAACCCTTTTTGCTGCAGGCTTGCACGCAAGGACGCCTGGAAGTTTGGGCCCCCTAAACTCCCCAAACCATATTAGCTGCTCCCTGGGCGCACGAAACTGACCTGGAAGGCCATGGCCTGCGCTTTGGCGGCCAAAAAGGCCATGAGAATGGCCCGACGCATGGAAGCGGCCTGCACAGGTACGAAGCATCCCGGATGCCCCCACAATGGAGAGATGTGAAACCTCGGGAATTGCAACTTGTGCATTCCAGAAATAATGGCTACATATGGGATCATATGGGAAGCGGCTTCCTAGTAAACCATTGGCTTTCCACCGTCCCTCGCATGTGACTTGACTCTCCAATCTCTCGGTGAACGCGCATGGCTCCACGAAGGCGAAGGCAGCATGTCTGGTGTGGCGGGTGCGACACGTTTACCACAGAGCAACGGCAGTTGAAGAAGTATCTGAAGGTAGGCTTCGCACAAAGCTGAGGCACCCACCATGTTAGCCGGGAGGGCCGTGCACTTTTGGCACTACCCATCTTCCTTCTTTCTGCGCATCTTGAGCCGTTGTCGGTTATCGATGCCCACGCATGCGCGGAGCACCAGCACACCGCCGAACGCAAAGCTCAGTCTGCCTAGTCAGGCCATGTCATGCCTCGGCCGACCAGCGGTCTTTTCCTTGATGAGCGTGTCACGCGTGAGAAACAGATAGGAAACTTATTTGGAACCCTCCTGGGCTTCCCAGGATGCCTGGGGCTTAGCCTCATCACTTGAGCTACGCGGATCCTTGCTGTGCCGCTTTCCGGCGATTCTCGATGAAGGTTTCACCTTGACAGCTCTCATGAATCTTCAGCTGAGTCATGGCGGCCAGGGGCGCGGCGAAGCTTGTGAACCGTCTTGGTCGCGATATCGTTAATGACCTGAAACAGGAACCCAGGAAGGAACGATCTTGCATGCGGATCCGAGAAGAACGTGTGCGGCGATGCCGGAAGCCAAGAAGTTGACCGAGTCGGGCTGATTCTTGAGCTTGGGCTGCTTCCGGAGAACCTCAGAGCCACTAAGCCTGAAACTATGCAGGTCTACTGGATGCGGAAAGTCGGAAAGAAAAAACGTCCAACCTGAGTGCCTTGCATGTGTTGCAATAGCACCTGCCAGCCCGCTATCCTTTCGCTGGATCCTGAGTCGTTTCTACAAGCTACACTGGCACCAGGCTGCATAATGCTGCGGCACTAAAAGCCACCAGGTGTCAGGTCCCACTGGTTGCTCGTGCTGTAGAAATTCCTCATAATCGTCACCTCAGCAGGGGGCAAGGAGAAGAGACGACAGACAGACACTGCAATGCTTCAATCCTGAGCTCCGTGCCGAGGTGTCTAGCGACACGGCATAGTGCCACCAGCCTTTCGGCGCCACTATTGTCTCACCCCGCTCCACCACAGCCACGTATGGCGTTGCACGTCTCGCATCCTGGCGAGTGTTTCAATCAATTCCATGATGACAATATGATGACAAACATTCAGGTGATTCGGGCCACTTCTCGAAAACATCCGGGTCCAATGGATCCAGCCTATGCTGCGCACCGCTTATCGTTCACGTTGATTACACGACGGTATTGAGGCCAAGCAGCCACGAGCCATTCATGAGACCCTCGTCGCCTTCGAATGGATGCAGGTGCTCCCCATCCTTGTTCAAGTGCTTTGCCAGAAGCCCAGGCAAAGCCGAGCAGATGTCAAAGAACCCGTTACTCTCGCACACGCTTTGTGGCTGCATGAAGCTACAGTCGTCATTGCCGGAGATTCATCGCTGTGATCTCAGCTTGATGAGACCCAGTTCTATGTACAGTGGCTCACAAAGCCAAAGAACTGAGAACAACAGGACGTTTCTTCATCCTGGCCACCCTCAGACTCAAGCTGCACCTGCAGCTTTGAGTGACTGTGAAATCCTCACTAGGATCCAAGCCGTCTTCAGTGCCACTTGCAGCTTCAGAAGGGGAGATGTCATGTAGCTCCACACATCCCGGCCCTCTTTGTTGTGAATTCGCAACGCCTCGGTGGGCTCCACAGCATGTGCCAGAAGAAGCGCAAGGCCCCACGAATCACCATTGCGCGCGCAGAAATGCAAAGGCGTGTCTCCTCAGCATCTCCGACCCTTGAATCGTAACATTCGCAACAGTTCACAGTTGGTGCTTGAGTCCGCTGAGTGCCACACCATTGATGTCCTTTGCTGTGGGATCTGCTCCAAAGTCTACCAAGATCTGCATGATCTCCCGCTGCTGTTCCTGCTGCTGCTCGGAGGACCCTGCACCGTCTGGGCTGTTGATGGCCCTGGTCAATAGTCTGGAAGCGACATGGAGCGCCGTTTCGTATCTGGAGGGGGCAGGTTCAAACTCAGCAGGGATCGTCACCTCACCGGTGCAGATATTAGGATCCATCCGTCCATTTTCCAGGAGACGGCGCAGGCATCCAGGATGCCCAAAGCCAACGGCCTTGTGCAGCGGCGTGAGCCCGGCCACATCGTACGTTTCGAGGAGAATTTCCTCCACCTCCAGCAGCCTCAGAGGATGTTGCGGCAGTCTCTCTCCGCACTTCATCATGCAGGCAGGCCCCTCGGTCAGACATGGCATCATTGGGCGGCCTGCTTGCAGGCGAGTTTCTTTTCCAGCACATGTGCGTGTCCTGCCGTGCTTGCCAAAGCCACACAGGACGCACCTGTCCTGTCTCTGGCGCTTGCGTTTGCCCCAGCTTTAAGTAAAGCGATTACGAGTGGCAAAGTCCCGGACGCACATGCAATGTGCAAAGCCGTCTGGCCAATAGAGGTCAACGGCTCATCGATGCCACCTTCTTGCAGAGCTTTCAGTACGGCAGCGACGTCGCCTTGCTGAATCTTGTAGATGAGTGCGGCTCTATCGACCTTTGTGTCATAGTGCTAGGGACAACAACCAAACCGGGCCCAGAAGGCAACTGAGGCACGGGAGCTTCGAAAGCCACTGGTTGGAGGCCATGCCTGCAGCTACACATGGCACATCATAGCATTACACACCGAAGCAACGAAACAGAGCCACGCAGCAGGGCGCAGGCACCTGCTCACGGCTGCTCCTGCCACTCCGACCCCGAGGAGGAGCCACACAGGCTGCCCACGCCGACCCGTTGCGGAAGCCCGTGCAGGAAGACCACGGCGCAGCAAGCGCAGCAAACGGCACTGCATGCTGCTATACCATCGCAGTGGAATGGTAGAGAGCTGCTGCAAAGCTTTACTTGACTGCGTCCTTCGGAAAAAGTCCTGTCCGTCAGGCCTTCAGGCTTCCGTTCCGTGTGGCTTTGTTTGCTATCGGTTCTGGAATTGACTCCGCTCAGACGATTTGCAATTGAAGGCTCCCAAGCAGGAACCAAGCGAGCACCCAGTAAGCATGCCTCTCAAACACATAGAGTGCTCTATGTGCCGAGCGGAAGGTGGAAAGCACCTCAGTCCAAGTAGTCACGCCAAGGACTGCTGGCCGCCCCCGAAAGCACCCTAAGTCCAGCGCACAAACATCTTCCGGCCTGGCAAGGAGCTCAAGAAAGCTGGAGTCGCTGAGGTTTCTACGGCAGCAACGGTTGAGGGTTCGCGGTTCGCGGGTCGCTCTCGCCTTCCATCTGAGAAAGCCAGGCCTCAACACCAAGACACCAAGACATGGGAGGCTGCCGGTTCAGGGCTTGCTCTGGGCTCACTGCATGCGCACCGCCGTTGTCAAAGTGCAACCTCGTGATGGCACCCTTCGGCGAGATGAAGACTTTTGTCAAGTCCCAGTCCTGCCGAATGCTCCAGACCCACGCCCTGAAGCAGGTTTGCACCTTCAACATGCTTCAGCCCGCACCTCATTCTGCAGCTTCTGCTTCTGCTCTTCTGCATCAGGCCTCAGCGCTGACAACGCTTCCCCGTGCCGCTGCGCTTGAAAAAAACACCCTGGTCGCAGAGTGGTCTGTTGCTTGCCTGCTTGCCACTCCCCCCTCGGCAAAAAGAAAAGAAGGACTGAGCCGCGGGAGTTTACGAGTTTGAGGTTTGAGACCAAGGAGCGGCTGATAGCTGCCCCGAGCCGTGAGCCCCTCGAGGAGCGACTGAGCGGCGGGGCGCGGGGCGCGCGCTGCGTCTAAGAAAAGGCTCCGCGGCTTTCCGGCCTCTCGCAGGGCCTCCGACTCTCGAATCAGCAAGGAGTTCAGATCCTCATGCCCGATCCCAGCAAAAGAAGCAGACAGAGGCTGAGGCACGGAGCTGGCACCTCCAGGATCATATCTGCAGAAGCAGCAGCATCTGCGATCCCCTCACCCCCAGGAACCACATAACTCCGAAGCCATGGTAGTTGAGCAAAGGCCGGCCAACCGTTCAAGTACAGTCTGGGACAGCTCGCCGCATTCTCGTCTTTGCAGTCTGGATCTAATCTCTCCAGCTCGCGAACGTAATCGGCATACTCACTTAGAGAAGCTTCATATACGGGCGCTTCCCAAAGATTTTCCTGGCGAGTGAAGATGGGCCCAAGCCACTTGACGAGCTGACGAGTGCGACCCAACTTTGATGCGAGCCACGAAAGATCCCATGTGTCTTGTGCAGGCCAGCCTTCCTGCATGTCGACCACGATGAAAGGCTCCGAGGCTTTCCCGACATCGAAGTTGTCGAACTCGGTGCTGCTTCTTCGCGCAATGCTCCGCGCCGACTCAAGCAAGGGCGGCACGTGGCCAGCGGCGGTCTCGCGACAGAAGTTCAGGTAGTATTGAGATGGTGGCAGAGACTCCACTCGAGCCAACCACCAAGGAAGCTTCAGGCAGCCTGCCGAGTCCTCTTTCGCCTCCGTCAGCAATGACCCACTCTGCAAACGCTGCACGGCCGACTGGGTACCATCGACTTCCAGTATGTGCACCTCAAAAAGGAGGTCGCTGCTCGGCGGCACGATGTGTGGAACCCCGTTGGCCCCGTAGCCCAGATCTGCAGGAATATGGATCTCTGCAACTGAGCCCAATGACAACTCTTTCAGTCCAAGCTCCATCCCTGGAATAATGGCCTTCTTGCCCAGGAGCATCGTCATGGGCGCTTGGCCTTTGCCCTCCGTGCTTTCAAAGACGCATCCGCTGGGCAAGCGACCCACCACATGGGCAACAACCAGCCTTTGCCCCAAAAAACAGCTGAACTAAGCCACTCAGTAGACCGATCAGGTGGACTTAAAGAGTTTAGTTGCTCTGCTTGCAGCCTGCGGCTTTGAGCTTTCTGCCGTCGAGCATCTTCTGTGGGAAGTGTCGTCCATCGCCTTCCTGCAAGACCTGGGGCGACAGTTCTGCGGATGCTCGGATGCCAATCGGATCAACCGTAGTTTGCTTGTGTATCATGCACATTATGTAAATACGTAACCATTGAATAAATAAACCCATAGGTTTTTGAGCAAATAAATAATAAACTATATATGTGTGTGTGTATATATGCATTGTTGAAGTCCAAAGGCCAAGGAACCGAGACGATCACGCCCTGTGGCAGCTCCACTCGGCGCTTCACGGGAGGTGGCCCGGCCAAGGCTGTCGTGACCATTTGGAAGCTTGCGCTCAGGGGTGGCAACTTGGGCAGCGTGGTTTTGGGAGCACAAGAACAGGGGAATGGGCTTAATTACCGAGCTTTAGCGCACTACGCTCACATCGGTTCACTGTCCGTCGGCGTCCGGAGAGGTGTGAGGAGGTTTGCAATTCGTCGGCTGGTGGCAGGACGTCCGGCAATCTATGCGCAATTCGATGCGGGTATGCTGAATAAAAACATAGTCCATCGTACTCTCCGTGGTGACTGTGAATTAAAGACTCTCGTCTGAAGATGTCTTGAGAAGTCTTGACCGTTTGCGAATGCCATACAACCCGGCTGGAGGCTCTGGGACTGTGAAGTCGAGGCCTCAAAAGCGTCCCCTTTCTTTCTGCACAGTTCTGCTCTCGTGCCTACAACCGAACAAGTCCACCATGCGACATCGCTGGAGTCATTCTGCTGTACATGCTGGCACTGGGTCCTGGGTGGGTACCAACACTAGGAATGGCGCTCCTGCCGCCTGGGGGCTGCCTCGACTCAAAAAAGTGTCCAACTAAGGCCTTCCTCCATATTCTGGTTCTGCCCAGGGGCATGCTTTCTCCAAGCTTGGACACTTTTTGCAAGCATCTGGCAAATCTGGCACGTCTGGCTGGAAGGCAGTACTTACTCCACCAGTGACAAGAACGGGCCCTGAGCTTCCACAGGCAACCTTCCAGCCGGTAAATATTCAGAAATGTTGGGCTGCTGTGAAACTGACTGCTTTGCAGTTGCAGACTGTCGTAGACATAACTTTCCGCACTGACCGTGTTCTTGGCAGTCTTAGCATTCAAGTCAGGGGCTCGGGCAGCGACCCATAGTCAAATCAGCTTGCTCTCGGGCGATGCAACTGACTGCCTCACCGGATTTTGGCCAGACACTGCGTCAGATGTTACAGAGGTTCTGAGCTAACGCAGACTGTCAGCAAGTCGCCGATCTGAGTTTAACCCAATCAGCAAAATATTTCCACGGCAGGCCGCATGCATTATCCTGCTGGAGCGTAGGACACATCCCCGTCTGCTAGTGATTGCTGCAAGCCTTCTCACGGCCCGAGGACCGTTCGTGCCAGTCTAAGAGTCTAACAACCCCGATCAACCTATTGTGGTTAATCGATGTCCTTGATATAATCGGGGATCCCTACTGCAGTGTGGCACCTCGTACATAGGTGAAGTTTGTAACCGAGAACACTGCTGAACAACAGAGTGCCACACGTACGAAACATGTCACGTATTGAGTGCCAGGCAGGCAAGAATGAGCTTTCCCATCTTGCGAGCTTTAAAATGGCAGATGGCAGCTTTGAAGGGAAGGCTATGAAGCAGCGGATGGAAGTGTGTGAAATTCTGCAGTCTGACGGGCACTGGCCTCACCCCGCAAAGAAACCAACTAGGCCACTTGCTCAAGTCAGGCCTTTGGGGCAGAACTCTACATGCCTTGGCAGCTGAGGGGTAATCCAGCATACCAAGGTAAAAGGCGCCACGCGCACCTCAGGGCAACGTCAGGCAACATCACCCTTGGCATGCGGCGTCGCTTCGGCGGAGCAGGTACGAGGACGGCACGATGTCCAATACTCGTTATATGCAGCTCGATGTAGATTCCTGGTCATAGGGGTTCAGGCTTCTTGGGCGCAGCCTTGAACAACTGATTCTTGGGTCGCGACCAGCTGTTTCGGATCCAGACTCCAGACTCGATCGTCAGCGTCGAAGTGCACCAAGACCTACTCAACGCAGACGGTACGACAGACAACCGATTTCGCACAAAGGACTTCGTCAATCTCCGGCCTTGCCAGCGGCATGACCAGGTCCGACCTCATCAGCTCTCTGTCACCAGGCCAAATCCCCGGTTGCCAAGTTGCTGAGAGATCCGCCACGGTGCCCTCCTCTCCTTCTGCCACAGCTAGCCTTGTCTCCTCGGTCACGATCTGCACAGCCACGCTTCTTCCAGAACCAAACAACTTCCGGGCGTCTGGCGTCAAAGCTGCGAGAGCCGAAGACTTGGCCCAAGCTTCGGACCTTCGAAAACAGTTCGGAGAAAAAAATAGACTGCTGCCCCACAGATGTCAGAGATGTGTAGGCTAAAATACCACAGTGCGTCTTTCCTTTACCCCTATCCAACAAAGCCATCCAGCACACAGCAGTCTGTCTCATCCTGAGCATGCGGGCGCGGTCGCCCCGAGCAAACCCCTGGACCTTTTCCTGGATGGTCTCCTCGTAGGCCTGCTCCCAGCACGCTTGGAATGGATTCTGCTCGGTTTGAGCCCCTGTGGCCTTGAAGTTCCCTAAGATTTTACACTCTTGGGATGTCTGTTCTTCGAGCAGCCAAGTCGTCCACGGTAGTGCGCAAGCTGTACTTACTCATGCATCCAGTGTGCTGACAAGGGCACGTGCGACACTTGCAAAAAAGATCACGTCTCGCTGCACTACCGGACTCTCACAGCACTGCCACGTGTCGAGGTATGCGGATCGTCAACATTGATGCATCAGTGTAAGCCGGAATGCCTGAAGCTCTGTTGGAGACAACAACTTGACTCCAAGCCTCCGTCTTGCAAATGAGGCAGGGCCATATGCTCCACTCGCCGATGCCGTTGTCAAAGCCTCGGTCGCTGCAAGGTGCAGGCAACTTCACAAGAATTACAGCATCGCACTGTGCCCATAGGGATGTTGCCTGACTGAGCTTGGCTGAGGAATCCACGGACAGCGAGCTTGCCTTTGACCACGGATGGGCCGACTACCTCATCACCACTTCGTTTCCAAATGTCAGGAATGAGCTAGCATGCTGACCGTGTATGTTTCTGTGGCCCTCGTCAGCTCCGAACCGTTCCTTCATCGCCCAGCCACAACTCCTGTCATTGCTGCATGGATGCCTGTATCCACCTTTCGCACATTCCAATAATAGCACTCTCCACCCGAGCATTCGCCATGTCTTCTGTCCATATGATACACCGGTTTGGAACCGTACTAGGCCCGCATGACTTCGTCACGCAGGCAGTAACTGGTCAGCCAGGCTGACTTTGCCAGAACCTGTGCTGTATAATTGTCGTGTTACAAGCAAGCAGCAAGCCTCCAGCGCTTAGCCGAACCCGTGTCTCTGACTCCGCACACCAGTCCGACATACCATCGAGAGCTGAATGCACGGCACGCGACAGCTGATGAGACTTTGGTGAGAGCGGAAGATGAGCCAACCCAGTGGAGGGCCGCGACACACACATCATCGCAAGCGGCGGGCGGCCGGCGTTGTTCTGCTAAATGTGGGACAGCAGCAGGGCGCCACCGGGCAGCGACAAGCTCTTTCTCCGGACCTCCCTGTTGTGCAATACCTCAGCAGTTGAGCCCCACAGCAACAGGCGCGTGGGCAGTACTGCTGCAATCTACTTTCGGCGAGTGTCACGTTTGCATAAAGGCAGAAACGGGCACAGACAGGCAGAGACAGAGAGAGAGAGAGAGAGAGAGAGAGAGAGAGAGAGATCTACACAGTTGCGCGTGACATAATACAACATTGCATATTATAATGCAAGACCAAATTAGATAAGACAAGATACAATAGACACAACAGCCTCAATCCTTGAGAGCACTGCCTAGGGAATCCCAGCTCTAATTGTCCTTAATCCGGCTTCCAACTTTTTGAGGTCTACACTTCCATAACATAACACAAAGACGTGTATGTCTATACATACATACATACATACATACATCCATGCATACATACATATTATGATGCACACTACATATTATGTGTATATGTATGTATATATATATATATACACAGACACGCACATATGCGCAGAGACAGGAAACGCCTGCTTGGTCATATCAAGCGGGTGACATCGACGGTCTCGTTGGGCGGTCGCAGGTGTAGGATCTTCGGCGCTGGGCGGGACAGCATCGCAGGCTTCCGAGGCTTTTGTGAGGACCGCGGCTGAGGGTCAGGTGGCAGCAGACCCAAGCTTGGTTGTCGAACAGGGGTTAGTCCGCTCGGCCTCCAGCGCGGAACGGCCCTTGGTCGCAGGTCCGGTGCACTGGGGCTTACTGGGATCCGTGGCTGCGGATTCGTAATCCCATTAGCCTCCAGATACTCAAGGAGGTCCCTTCGAACAGTCTCGGACTGTGGAGGGTGCATCATGCCCAGGTGGATCGGCGCTTGCTGGTAAGCCCGTATGCCAGCCTTCTGTACATAGGGCCGCGGCTGGCTAAACCACTGGCCTGCAATCCGCACCCTCTCGCGGCCTGGCGTCTCCTTTGGAGTGGACTGCCCACTGCGGAGGTTGTAAACCTCAAAGGTGGATGCCATCTCTGCATCTCGGGCACCTGCACCTCATTCTGAGATTGCCGGAGCTCTGAAGGCTGCTCTGGGCCCTTGCTTCAGAGCCAAAATCGAAATGCGCCGGTCAGAATCGCTGCAAGCAAGGAATGAAACAAACCATCTTTGCTCCCAAGGCCCACCTGGTGTGGCTGCTCGGATGGCGGGTTCAGCAAAGTCACTAGAGACTTTACCTTAAAACGGCAAAAGGAAATCTGGGAACAGAACGTCTCGATGCTCCAAGGCCCTTGCCCGGCTACCCCAATTGAATCCAAATATTCCGGCAGCGCGCGCTGCACCAAATTGAGCAGGCTGACCTCAGAAAGTGTCATCTGAAAGCAAACGGGGATGGCACCTCGGGATCGCCTTGTCGAGGTGTTAGGGTATGGGGTTGAGGTGCTGGCTGATCTGGAGCGGCGAGAGCCACCTGCCGCGACTTGCCCCTTGTCTCGCCAGCTTGATAGGCAAAATCAGGAAGGGCTCAAGATTTTAATTTCTGGCCGGCAGCACCAAGAGACTCCACGAGGAAGCTGGACCTTTGTGCCAAGACATGACGCTATTTCAGGGCCTACTTGTCTAGCCTAATTCTGACATCACCCGCACCACACATCCGAAGCTGAAGCCTCAACTTCTTAGCTATGAGAGCTATGAGCCACTCGAAAAGTATGCTACTTTTTGAATCAAGGGCTGGG